TACCCAGCGTATTTCCTAATCATCTCCAAGGGAGATTTTTAAAAGCTTTTTATTACAGAGCTGGAGGGACTCCGCACATACCCATAATCCTGCTTCAACATCCATCAACATCCTGCTTTTTTCATCTATCCCACCCTCCCCCCAACACGCACACAATTTCCCCCAGACTATTTTATTTTATTTTTATTTTTTTCTTTTAATATTTTATTGATTTTTTACAAAGAGGAAGGGAGAGGGATAGAGAGTTAGAAACATCGATCAGCTGCCTCCTGCACACTCCCCACTGGGGATGTGCCCGCAACCAAGGTACATGCTCTTGACTGGAATCAAACCCGGGACCCTTGAGTCTGCAGGCCGACGCTCCATCCACTGAGCCAAACCGGTTAGGGCCCCCCAGACTATTTTAAAGCAAATCTCTAAATGTTATCTCTCAATTCAGATGCTGTATCCTGTTTGAAATTCAGTCTCTGAACTGAGTACAAATGCCCACCACACTCAGACATCGTGACGTCGCAATGAGATCCTAGATGTGAGAGGGCCCTGGTTCTGGAAATTGGCCGTGTATCAAACTCTCTGGGGAGATATTTTCAAAACCAAACCGCTGGGTCCTACCCCAGACCGATGAATTAGGTGTCTGGGAGTGGGAACCAGGAATCTGGGGATGCCAAAAGCACTCCTGGCTACTTAATTGAGGCTTGTTAGGAGGCCAGAATTTGTAAGTCTCCACTGGAAAGTAGCTAGTCAGTGTCCCATTCTATGCTCCAGGGTCTGCTCAGAGAACTGAAGGGACGGGGCAGGCCAACCTCGACCTGGGCTGAACATGGGCCCAACCTCAGAGCCCAAACTGGGTCCCTGAGGAGGGAGGAATGATGGTCCTGGCGGTGGGAGGGTGCTAGCTTTGCGCAGTGGCAGTATCGTAGCCAATGAGGTTTATCCGAGGCATGATTATTGCTAATTGAAAAAAATAAGAAGTGAAAAGTGGGAGGGAGAGGGAAGGATGGGGCCACGAGGCTGCCTTGGAGTCTCTGTCGTGGAGGGTAGCGTGGGCATCGGGCTCCAAGGTGCTCCTAAGTAAAGGTACCTGTTTGGCTTTGAAGACAGGAAAGTAGAGGAATCAGCCAGAACTGCTGGAACCCACAAATCGCATTGTGTATGAATGCCCCACGCCCTGAAGGTGTGCAACCCTAGGTCATGGGAGATGATTCCACCGAGACAGAGAGGAATATTAAGCAGCCGGAAGGATGGTAGGTCAAGACCTCACTGGGCTTTCAGAAGGTTCTAGGCACGTGTAGAGCAGTGTTGGAGGGGCATGGCTCCTTTTTCTCTTTCCCTTCACCGCCCCTCAACACCTTGACAGTGTAGAGCTTTATCTGAACCCCATACTTCAGGAGAGCAGCTACAGTCAAGAAATCCCCCCTACCCTCTGTGACGCCCCAACACCCCATTTTGAATTCTGAGAAATGGCTGACTTTAACAGAATTTTCCAAGGTAAGATCCACATACACCTTGTTTCGATGACTCAGGTAAGACCTTGTTGGTCACCTCCTTACCAGGCCACCTTCCTTTTCTTTTCTTTTTTATTTTTTAAATATATATATGTGTGTGTGTGTGTGTGTGTGTGTATTATATATATATATATATTGATTCTATATATATATATATATATATATATATATATATATATATATATATTGATTCTTTACAGAGAGGAAGGGAGAGGGATAGAGAGCACTGGGTATGTGCCTGCAACCAAGGTACATGCCCTTGACCAGAATCGAACCTGGGACCCCTGAGTCCACAGGCCATGCCCTTGACCAGAATCGAACCTGGGACCCCTGAGTCCACAGGCTGACGCTCTATCCACTGAGCCAAACCGGTTAGGGCCCACCTTCCTTTTCTTTAATACGTTCCTCATTAATGATCACTCTCCCTATTGCAAGAATCTGAACAAAATCATTGAATTTATTGTCCTGCACATTTTGTCTTTCACCCGCTCTCCTTTATTCCCCTTTTCTTCATCATAATGAATTTTACAATGAGAGATCTGCTGAGATAATCTATCAAAAATCCAGCTGGCAGTATAAATGCACTAAAGCCTCTGAAATGTATATTTAAAAATGGTTAAATGGGCCCTGGCTGGGTGGCTCAGTTGGTTGGAATGTTGTCCCGTACACCAAATGCAGGTTGATTCCTGATCAGGGCACATACCTAAGTTTTGGGTGTGGCAACTGATCTATGTCTCTCTCTGTCTCTGCCTTCTCCCTCTAGAAAGCAGTGAAAATGTATCCATGGGTGAAGATTCGGGGTGGGGGGTGGGGTGGGGGAGAGTTAAAATGGAAATTTCAAATAATGTATAGTTTACCACAATAAAAATTCCAGCTGACATAGACATACAATGGAAATAATTTTATCTAAAACAATTAGAACCCCTTCCATGTGTTGGGTAATGGGTTAGGCAGTGGTTCTCAACCTTCTGGCCCTTTAAATACAGTTCCTCATGTTGTGACCCCCAACCATAAAATTATTTTCGTTGCTACTTCATAACTGTAATGTTGCTACTGTTATGAATCGTAATGTAAATATCTGATATGCAGGATGGTCTTAGGCGACCCCTGTGAAGGGGTCGTTCGACCGCCAAAGGGGTCGTGACCCACAGGTTGAGAAACGCTGGGTTAGAGCGAGGGGGAAGTGGGCAGGGCCTGGAATGAGTAAGATCATTCTGTGGTCCAGAAGCTCCCCGCCTTGCCTGGAGACAAACATAATCTGCTAATTGAGCTACATTATTCAGGGTGACACATTGTAATAGACACGTGTACAACCTGATTTGAGCCAGGTTGTGAAGGGCCTTGAATTCTACACTAAGGAGTTTAGATTTTATTCTGTGGTAATTGGGAGCCCATGAATGGTTTTAAAGTGAGGGTGTGACATGGAATAGATTCTTTGCAATTCCTCATGTTTTATCACTAGACATCTGCTCTGTGTGGAGTGTGTAAAAGATCAAGGGCTGTGACAGCTTTACTTTTTAAAAGTTGACCCCCTGTAAAACAGGCTTGCATTCAAAGTTTCTCTTATTAAATATATTTATGCTTAGTGGAAAATAAAGAGTTAACTTTGGTTAAGTCTATTGTAAAGATAGAAACATAGATCAGCAAAGTGCTCGGGCATACTCACTGCTCAGAATGGAGCACCTGCTCCTACTGGAGGGAGTCAAGGAAGGCCTCCAGGAGGAATGGGCTTCGGAAACGGAGAGGGAAGAGGGGAAGCTGGAGCATATAGATGAAGGGAGGGAGCTGAGGGCAATAAGGTCAGAGGAGGGCCAGAGCCAATGGCAGAGGGCTTTGTGTGCCAAGTTAAGGGGCCTGAATCTTTTCCCTACAGTGATGGTTACCCGAAAAGGGCTCTGTTAATAATGATGATGATAATGATATAGTGCTTACTACGCACCAGGCACTACTCTAAGAGCTTTACCAATTTCAACTTATTTAACATCGACACTGAGGAAATGGCATGGTGGATTGCTTAGATCAGTTGGGTGGCTACGTGGATGATGGTGGCTAGAACAATACTAGAAAAACATTTTGTGGTTCCAGATAAATTGGAGGATGGACAGGATGTGATGGCTTTGCAGAATAGGAATAAAGTCATCAAGGCTTGATTAATTATTGGTTGCATGGTGGAATTGGTGAGTAAAGGAGAAACTGGGATGACTGTCACTTTTTTGGATTTGGGAACTGAGTGTATTATTGTGCTTACCCAGGTAAAGGGTTGGTTACTCTGTCCCATTTCTTAGAGTATTTGCTTAAGTCCTCTAGTACCTCCTACTTCCTCCTGGGTTATATAAAAACTAGAGGCCCAATGCACAAAATTCATGCAAGAGTAGGCCTTCCTTTCCCCAGCTGCCAGCACCAGCTTCCCTCTGGCACCCAGGACCTGGGCTTCCCTCACAGCCCTGGCTTCGTCTGGAAGGTCGTCAGGAAGGATGTCCAGTCTAACTAGCATATTATGCTTTTATTATTATAGAATTATAGATTAGTTGTTCAATTTCCAAATATTTAGGGATTTCTCCGAAATATTCTGTTATTGATTTCTAGTCAGATTCTGTCATGTGCTTTATGTGATTTCAATTCTTTAAAATTTGTGAAGGTTTTTGTGGAGTTTTGTTGTTTTGACCCACAATATCTTAGCAAATGTTTCTTTTGCACTTTAAAAGTATGTGTCTTCTGCTGTTGTTGGGTGTAGTTTCCATTAATGTCATCAGGTCAAGTTGTTCTATAGCGCTGTTCAAGTCTTTTATAAATTTTCTAATTTTCCTGACAATTTTCCAGCTACTTCAGTTTGTGTATTTGTCTATTTCTCCTTTCAGTTCCATATCATCCTGATTGATGGATAGTTCTGCACAGAGGAGAGGGTACTATGGCAAAGAAGTAAGAATGTTTGCGTGCAACAGAAAGAAACATCTTATATCTTTAAATTTACTCTAGATCACAAAAGAAACATTTTATCTTTTTAAATTTTCTTTAGCTTGCAGAGAAAAATGGAAATCCCTACGTATCCCAGCAGGCCTAGCGGAACTCAGGACAAATGCTAATAAGGGAGTCCAGGCACTTGACCACGCCCCCTTCCTGGGTTGGCAAGGCAACTTATACCAAGCCAGCCAATCAGTGAGATGCTCACCTGCGAGGGCGGAGAATCGATGAGAGCCAATGGGACGCGGGGCAGGTAGTTCTATGGGCCAATGGCTTGTGAGGTGGGGCGGGCTTTTGGTGAAGGGACAGTGGTGAGAAAGATGGCGGCGACTCTGGGCCCCTCTGGGTGGTGGTGGCGGCGGTGGCGGTGGCGGCGCCGTCTGTCTGCTTGGGATGGGTCCAGGATGTTGCTCCTGCTTCTTTTGTTGGGGTCTGGGCAGGGGCCCCGAAAAGTCGGGGCGGGTCAGACGTTCGAGTACTTGAAGCGGGAACACTCGCTGTCGAAGCCCTACCAGGGTGAGGCGTCCGGGACGAGGTGATCGTGCATGGGGCGGGCTTCGCGACCTGAGATCCTCGGTAGAGGGGGCGGCGACGCGCTTCGTGGCCCGGCCACTGCCGGCGATGGGTAGGGGCTCGCGGGGACTCCCGCAAAGTTTGGGAGCGACAGGTCCGAAGGGCAGGGGTCCGCCTCCCTCCCACTCCCGGCGCCGCTCCAGCGCTGGAGGCTCCCAGGAGGTCGTCGCTGGGCCCTCGGATGCCGCCAGGGCTGGGTCTGAACGCCGGGGAGCTCGGCGGCGGACCGGAGGAGCGTGGGAAGGAGAGAGAGCTGCGAAGGGGGGCGAGTGATGGAGGGCCACTAGCAACGAGCCGGTCTCCGGCTGGAGTTACAGAGGGGCCAGAAATAAAGCAGGAGGCGGGGCTGGGGCAGCGCTTGGCCCGACGGAGAAAGAAGACAAAATCCTGTTGCGCGTTAAAACACCTGTTCTTCTCCAGCTCCGGAGTCCTGTTGGTGGAGGGGCTGGCAGCTTTGCTCTGTTAGGGGTCATAGACTTCTAGGCACAGCCTGTCAACTAGAACATGTACGGAGGCGTCAACGGGGACCAAAGCAGTGCAGCTGGCTTAACTCACACAAGCCTGTTTCCCGCTGGAGTGTAGGCAGGGGGACAGCAAACAGGCAAACAGACTCCAGCGGAAGAGCCCATGCCCTACGGCCGCGGGTGGTGATGGGTTCACTTCGCAGGGGCACGGGCTGTCGCCATGGTGTGGGTCCCTGCTAATGCAGTGGGTTGTAGACACAGCTCTCGCTCTCAGTTACAGTCTGGCGTATCTGCTAAAGTCATGCTGGGATTGTTTAAAGAATGTGATTCAGCCCCAGAAGCCTGAGGATCAAGCTCTTTTTGGTTTAACCGGGGATTTTTTTTTTTTTTTCCTTTCGTGGAGCTACAATTTACTCACATATAAAAAGGGAAGAATAGATCTTAGCTCTGGTTACTCTGGCAGAGATAAAGGGTTGGATAAAGTGATAGCTCTGATGTGCTGTGGGGTCTTCGCCTAAGAAGGGCTTTGTGAAAAGAAGCCGCAAAGATGGTAAGGATTTAAGATTGATGCGTGATAGGTGGGAAATTGACATGAAAGGGGAAAGAAGAGATGACTGCAGCTTTTGGAGGGCGTGTGGTGGCTTTCTGAATGGGTTGGTGTTGGAAGAGTACGAACAGATCTACTTCCTCCCTGTAGGTGTGGGCACTAGCAGTTCCGCATTGTGGAATCTGATGGGCAACGCCATGGTGATGACGCAATATATCCGCCTTACTCCAGATATGCAAAGTAAACAGGGTGCCCTCTGGAACCGGGTGGTAAGAATCTTCCTCCCTCCTGTGTTGGTGACCCAAAAAGTTCACCAGAGGCATATTGGCTTAGTTTTGCTGTCTATTCTCAGTAATTTGTCTTCTGTGGTTATTAAAGGTTTTCATTTCAGAGGTTATGCCCTTCATAATGAAATCAGATATTTAGAGAAATGCTCTCTATTGCCCTAATTATAGCAAACAGTTCATTTTTATCCTGTTTTCTGAAATGTATTTAATTCAGACTTGGTAGTATGACTTCTTGGAGGTTAATAACTCATGTTCAGTTACTGTGCTTTGTAAAGTAGAAGACTGGTCTTTTAAATTTAGCCCAGACTTCATCCTAGTTTCTCCCCCTCCCATGTTGATTCACTTTAAGGAGTCTAATTTTAAGTTTTATTGTCATGTGAAAGCCACTTTGAGCCCTTGGTCATTTTATCTGTCCTTCTCTGGACCTTTTCTAGCTACATTGTCTTCCTTGAGGTATGGCGGCAAGAAGTGAATGCAGTATTCCTGGTGTGGCTGCACTCTGATTTTGTACAAGTGTAAGATGATGCTTTCTTTTTGGTTTCCAGGGCTTTTTCAAAACCTTTTATGACCGCTTTACTTTTGGGAATGGCCTTGGCATCCTTGAATACTTTTGGGTTCACATAAGCTAAGACCTCGCTTTTTCATGTTTTTTTAATCATTAGTTTTAGATAAGTGAACCCCAGAAAAGAGCACTATTTCTTCTCCTTGCTCATTTTATGTGCAGAGAATTCTAAAGGAGCAGAGGGAGAAGAGAAATTTCTCCATGAGCCATTTGCACAAGCTGGCCCCTTACCCCAGGTTGTAGCGCTGAGCGTGTTCCTGGACAGCGTATGGTAATGTGTTCTGGTAGAAGAGGTGAAGGGCTGCCAGTTGAAAGACTCGGGTTCCAGATGTAGCTGTATCACACACCCACTGTGAGCCCTAGGCGGTTAGTTAACTTCTCCGTTTTTAGTTTTTCCATCTGTCAGATGCACTTCATAATACCTCTTCTACACGCCCACCAGAATTGTTGTGAGGGTAGACATGAAAAAGCTTTGGAAAGTTAAAGTAGTTACAGAAATGTACGTTGTTATACCCTACATCTGTTATAAGGTGCATTGATGGAGGTCTCTGGGTTACTAAATTATTCTAACCAGGGTTTGAAACTTTGCTGCTGTCTTCCTAGCTGTCTCTACATAACTCTTAGCAGCAATTCTACTCTCTGGTTTTCCTGCCCTTTTTCAGATTCTCTGTTACCTGTATTTTTAAAAAAATATTTTTATTGATTTCAGAGAAGAAGAGAAAGGGAGAGAGAGAGAGATTGAAACATCAATGATGAGAATCATTAATTGGCTGCTTTCTGCATGCCCACTACTGGGGATCAAGCCCGCAAGCTGGGCATGTGCCCTGATGGAATCTTGGTTCATAGGTCTACACTCAACCTCTGAGCCACATGGGCTGGGCTACCTGTATTTTTTTATGACTGGCTATCAGAAAGAGCCTTGGAGTTGTTTCTGAGTTACGTGTTTGGATAGGAAGCATTGGTTTGAGCAGTGGGTTCTCAAGTTTGGCTGTCCATTGGAGCCAGTGCCTGGATCCCACCCCCAGAGATTCTGGTTTAATTGGAATTGGATATGCCTGGGCATTGGGATTTTTCCTTAAAGCCCTCTAGGTGAATCTAATGTGCAGCAAAGTTTCAGAACATAGTCCTGATCAAAACTGTATAGCATTGTGCTACAGGAGGCCAAAGATAAGCGGCAGACACCTCTTGGCTCAGTATGAAACTCTTAGGCCTTGCCCTCTTCTCAGGGACATAATTCCCACCCACTGGCTATGGGGGAGCTTCCTGCTACTGAATTTCACTCTTGCCCTGAAATCTAAATGTAACAGCAGAAAGATGATAACCCAGAGATTGGGTTCATCAGAGTAGGGTTAGCTGTTGGAGAATTCAGAAGGATCTGCACCCCTTTCATTTGGAATATCTACTAATACTAACACTTTTGGAAGATTTCCCAGAAATTAAACTGAAAATGATCTAGCAATATGTTGTTTGAGAGCTAGAACAGTCTATTTGGAGAGCCTTTGGCTGAACCTCATTGGTCTATCTGCTCCTCTTTCTCTTCTTTCTTCATGGTGAACTTTAACCAGGAGCCTCTCTAAGTCAAATACCCACTCTGGTTTCTACTTGAAAGTGTTCAACTATTTTTTTAAAAATATGTTATTTATTGACTTTAGAGAGAGAGGAAGGGAGAGGGTGAGAGAGGCAGAAACATTAATGAGAGAAACATCAACATCAATTGGCTACCTTATACATGCCCCCTACCGGGGATCCAGCCTGAAACCCTGGCATGTGTCCCTACTGGGAATCGAACTGGCAACCTCCTGATGCATGGGTCGATGCTCAACTTCTGAGCCACACTGGCCGGGCATGTTCAACTATTTAGAGCACTTACCTCCTCCATTTTCCCAAGGTTTGCTACACAATTCAGAAAAAGCAATAGTCTGATTCATACCTACCTCCTTAAAATTTTCCCACCAGAGGCTTTCCCTGTGGTGAGGTTGGGAGTGGTCTCCTTTGGTGCATTTATGCTTCCTGGCCATGGGCATGAGGTTTGGGGGGATTGTAACTTACCCCTTCTCAAGGGAACTACAGCTTATTCCTTCCTCAGCTTGGCATAGGGCCAAGTCTAATTAGCGTTGTGTATAGCATCTGCTAATTATTTCTGGAAACCTTTTCCTAATGGCTTCATTTTTCTTACTCTTTCACAATGAACGAGGCTTTGACCTTCCTTTAAAATCTAAGCTATTTATTTATTTTTTTAATTCTTTATTGTTGAAAGTATTACATATGTCTCCTTTCCCCCATTGTAAAGCTAAGCTTTTTAGAGTCTTTCTATCAGAGGGGTGATCTTAAGCTGTAGCTGAGTTAATTCAGCCACCTGTGCTCTACAGGCTGAGGCGCTTTGCTGGATGGGTGTATGACGATAGCAATCTCACATGGTGTTTTGGTGTCTTTCCTAACTTTGGAGTACTATCCTATTTCTATTGGGAGATGTTGAAGAAAATTAGGAGGTTTATTAACTTTTTATATTAAATCTCATATACAGTTGAATGGCTCTATTTATTTAATTTTATGACACAAACACTTAACAGGTCTTAGATTTCAGTTTTAACCTGTAGCCTCGTGTTACCTGCATTTATGTTTTCCTAGTCTGTAGACTGCTGCTGAGGACTTCAGGGGTTTTGCATTTCATATTCCTCATTAATCCCAATGTGTGTTTTGTTTTTGTTTTTCACTTCAGCCATGTTTCGTGAGAGACTGGGAGTTGCAGGTGCACTTCAAAATCCATGGACAAGGGAAGAAGAATCTACATGGGGATGGCTTGGCAATCTGGTACACAAAGGATCGGATGCAGCCAGGTATTGGGACCCTGGGTTGCTCTTGTGTAAGGTGTGACTGACCTGCTTTTTCATGTGCCCTCTTTTTGAGAAGGGTATGTCCCTACATATCAGCAGTTTCCCCTCTCCCTTGATGTCTGTGGATGAAGACGGGCCTGTCTAGTCTCTAGAATGGGGTCTGAGTCCTCGTAAGGAGCTGAACTTGACTCATCCTGGGCTGATTTCTTGCTTATTAGATCCTTCTTATTTCCCTGTGAACCCACCTGGCCTGTTGACTAGGTGGAAGCACTGGCTCTCCTGAACACAGATGACTGGGTGAGCAGATTCCTTCTGGCCTTCACACTGACCCTCTCAGCATTCCTGAGTTGGGAGAAGAGTGTCTATTCTCCCCGCTGTGTGGGAGCCATTGCCCAAAGCAAATGGCAAACTCCACCTCATTCAACCTGATCTCCTTGGCAATAAGAAGTCCAACTTGGGAATTCAGATCTCTCTTAGGGGCATGGTCATCACCAAGTGTTTGTGAGGCAGAATTCTTTAGGGGCGCCTTAGCAACTAGTCGGGATCTGGGAGCAGCTGTAGTGCTAAACAAGGTTGCAGTGGCCTTCTCTCTTTCCCCTGCCTTCATAACAACTACAGCTGGTTACTGGGTGCTTGCTACAGGCCATGCACTTTCCTGGGTGCTTTTACATATGTTTTCTTGTCTTAATCGAGGCCTGAGAGTCATTTGAATTTTACCTTTTCCTCCATCATAGTGAATATTATTCCTTTATCAACTCTTAGCTTTATTTCATTGTTCATCATCTGTTCTCTCTCTCTAGGGCCTGTGTTTGGAAACATGGACAAATTTGTGGGGCTGGGAGTATTTGTAGACACCTACCCCAATGAGGAGAAGCAGCAAGAGGTAATGGCAAGTGTCAGAGCTTAGGACAGCCACATGGACGTTCCCGTCCTCTGCCTCAGGAATGCTGTTCAGGAGGGAACAGAGGGGCTAGAAAGTGAGGGGTTCACTGCTACTCTCTTCTTCTGTTGAACTTCAGCAGTTAATGCGTTTCTCAGGGTTTTTTCTAGAGAGAGCTGTTTATGGTGCACAGTCCTTTGGGAATGGCCATCTGAATGGGGGCTTTCTCTTTAGCATTAACAGTGTTTTCTGTCTTGTGCACATTAGGTGGTTGCTGGAAGTGAGCATGCTTGGCTGGTTGGTGATTTGGCTACTAGGCCAGCACCAGAGCAAGCTGATGTCCCTCACCTGGTGACTTAATATATCACTGCCATGTCCTCCTGCAGCTTGCTCACCCTTTCCAGTATTCTTTTCTTCTTCCTCTTCTCAGACCTGAACAGCCATTCTCTTCTCTAGGAAAGACTATCAAAGGAAATGGTTGGAATCTCAGGATTTTGTGGGAACCCAGGATCTGGCTTATGGCAGAAGCTTCTTGCTTTTTTGTTAGCAGACCCTAAGGTTTCTGTGGTATTTTCTTAGGCTACCAGCAGGTTGGTACTCTCTACCTGATGGCCCCACCATCAGGTGGTGGGAACATGGTTATGACAGGTTGTTGCTAGGCATCCTGTAGCTAAATAATATTTAGCAGGAAAGGAAGGATTAGGAATGGAAGTAGAATTCACTATATTTTTACCCCAAAAGTTTATGAAAATTGTCAAATTTATAAAAAATTGGAAGAACAGATCATTGTATATTCAACAACCAGATTCAACAGTTTTTAACATTTCCCACAGAGTTCACCTTAGAGGGTGTGGAAAGTGAGACCTGAGTTAGGAGAATAACCTTTTGTTGTGAGCCAATTACCGAGTTGTTTGTGGGCCCCTCTTAACTCCACCATCATCAAACCCTGTTTAGGCGCCACACCCTGGGAATCGAGCAAGACCAACACGGTCCTTGCATTCAGTAGCGCTGATGGGTGAGAGTCCTGGGATGTAAAAGTGAAGCTATAGCAGCAGCATCTAACCTGGGGCAGGACTTTGTTGTTGTTGTTGGTGGTGGTGGTGGAGGTGGTGGTTGGGGAAGATTTTTTCCAGGAAATGACATTTACATTAAAGTCTGAAAAATGAGGAACCAATGTTTCATGCTGAGGGAAAAGTGTGTGTTAAGGTGATGAAGTGAGAGAAGGGACAGTGAGTGTGAGGGCACAGAGGGGATCAGAGAGAGATGAGGCTAGAAAGAGAAACGGGGCCGGCAGCCTTGCCACGTTGCACAGTTCATATTGCATTCTTTGTATTAACACTTGTCTCTTGGGCTTGTTAACTGGACACTGAGATTGAGCACTGTCTCCTTGGGTGGTTGGTGGTTTGGCTATTTAGACCAGCACCAGAGCACGGGTGTGTGTGACTCATCCTCACCATGCACACTGTGGGGCCAGGTTCTGAAGGGTGGTGTTCCCATTAAGGAGTCTGGACTGTGTTCTAAGGCGGTAAGTGCATGAAAGGATTTTAATGAGGGGCATGTCGTGACTAGGTTTGCTGTTGTGCTGAGGAAATAGTGGTCGGTAGAAATGCATTCGAATAAGAGGTCTGGGCTGCAGGGCCTGACTAGAGTTTTAAACCTGCCTCTCTGTGAATTGTTCAAATTGTCTTAGCTTCTTTTTCACCATTAGGTACTATTCTGATTTGAGAAGGTATATATGGGTTTATTTTGTAAGGAGAATAGCCGTTAATCAGAAAAATTAATTGCAGATGGTAAAAAGTAGGACTTCTTTTCTGGCTAGCTATATGGTTCTCACTCCCAACTGCACATTGGAATTACCTAGAGAGCATTTAAAATGCTGATGTCCAGGCCCAGCCTCAGGGAGTCTAATGCCATTAGTCTTAAGTGAAGTTTAGCCAACCTTACTTTTCAAAGCTCTCCAGGTGAGTTACATGTATATAGTCAGGATTGAGAAGCCCTGGACCACCATCGAGCCCTTGTTTTCTTTTTAAAAAATATATTTTATTGATTTTTTTACAGAGAGGAAGGGAGAGGGATAGAGAGCCAGAAACATCAATGAGAGAGAAACATTGATCAGCTGCCTCCTGCACACCCCCGACTGGGGTTGTGCCCGCAACCAAGGTACATGCCCTTGACCGGAATCGAACCCAGGACCCTTGAGTCCGCAGGCCGACGCTCTATCCACTGAGCCAAACTGGTCAGGGCTGTTTTCTTATTTATTTATTTCTTTATGAAATTTTTAAGTTAAAATAAAATTTTAAAAAACTAATAAAAGGCCCTGACCGGTTTGGCTCAGTGGATAGAGCGTCGGCCTGAGGACTGAAGGGTCCCAGGTTCGATTCTGGTCAAGGGCATGTACCTTGGTTGCGGGCACATCCCCAGTAGGGAGTGTGCAGGAGGCAGCTGATCAATGTTTCTCTCTCATTGATGTTTCTAACTCTCTATCCCTCTCCCTTTCTCTCTGTGAAAAATCAATAAAAATATATTTAAAAAAAAACAAAAAAACTAATAAAAGCAGTTTTGTTTACTAAGTGGCTATTTTATGCTTGCTATTTTACAAATAGTCTTAATCTTCATCAAATCTCCTTAGAGTCAGTATTATTTTCCCCATTTTACCAATGAACAGCTCAGAGAAGGTAAGTGTCTTGCTCAAGGTAACAGCCAATATAAGGTGGAGTCAGATTTTGAGCAGAGGTCCACCTGATTCCCGAGGCTGTGATTTTAATTATGGTTGTTACCTCCCACCACTGTGGTGTTCTGCCGGGTGATTTCCTTGAGAATGGAGAAACTCATTGTTCTCATGATCTGTGCAGTTGCAGTACGTAGATCTACCCCCTGCAGAGAGTATAGGAAGTGCACTCCTTCTACCTCCCAACAACCTTGGAGGCTAAGATCAGATGTGTTTTGTTAGCAGCATGGTTTACTATATGATATGATAGGTAAAGGTGTCAGCCATTGTTCCATGCATTTTATATGTATTATTTACTTATCAAAACAGTACTTTGGGGTATATGTAATTTTTGTCCATTATAGGTAAGAAACTAAAGTCCAGAAAAGCCAAAAAAACCCGAAACAAAACAAAAACCACAAAACTTGTTAGTGACACACAGGTAATGGGTTTGTGGTTTTTTTTTGTTGTTTTTTTTAAAATATATTTTATTGATTTTTTACAGAGAGGAAGGGAGAGAGATAGAGAGCCAGAAACATCGATGAGAGCGAAACATCAATCAGCTGCCTCCTGCACATCTCCCACTGGGGATGTGCCCGCAACCCAGGTACATGCCCTTGACCAGAATCGAACCTGGGACCCTTCAGTCCGCAGGCCGATGCTCTATCCACTGAGCCAAACCGGTTTCGGCTGTGGGTTTTTTTTTAAATATATATTTTTTATTTCAGAGAGGAAGGGAGAGGGAGAGAGAGATAGAAACAGCAATGATGAGAGAGAATTATTGATTGGCTGTCTCCTGCATGCCCCATACTGGGGATCAAGCCTGTAACCTGGGCATGTGCCCTCACTGGGAATCGAACCTTGACCTCCTGGTTCATAAGTCAATGCTCAACCACTGAGCCACGCCAGCCAGGTCAGGTAGTGGGTTTGAAATCAGAGACCACAGTCTCATTATTTTGATTTATTATTTTGAGCACATAAGGATAGAGTGACAAATATGGTGCCTTTAAAAACTCGCTAATGTCATGTGTAAAGATGTGCTGGATGAGGAGGACAAGGAGACTGCAGGAGTGATTTTGAACAGTTCATCAAATTCCTCAAGTTGCTGCAGTGAAAACGTTTCTCTAGTTTCTTGTTACCTTGTCACCAGAGTACACATGGCCTGTTGCTCCACTCACTTCCTACCACATTTGTCCACCAGGAAATACTGGGAAAATGCTAGCAACCATTAATGCACCTGAGAAGGGGTTTAGGCTTGGCTATCTGCATCAGAACAGATTGTCCAAAGTCACATAATTTCCCCACCTGTGATATAGGGATTGCAGTGTGGGTAAGTAGGTCAAGAGCTTGTGTATTTGGGAGTGCCGGATACTTACTACCTGTGCCATATGAGTTTGCCAGGTCATAAATCATTGTTGAAATAACAGCTGAAGAAATAGAAAATCTGGATAGATAAGTAAAGAGATTGAATTAGTAATGAACAGTAACTCAGTCCTAGCCGGTTCGGCTCAGTGGATAGAGCGTCGGCCTGCGGACTGAAGGGTCCTGGGTTCGATTCCAGTCAAGGGCACAGGTTGCAGGCTCGATCCCCGGTAGGGGGTGTTCAGGAGGCAGCCGATCAATTATTCTCTCTCATCATTGATATTTCTATCTCTCCCTTTCCCTTCCTCTCTGAAATCAATAAAAATATATTTTTAAAAAAAACCTCACAAAGAAAAGCCCAGGACTAGATGGTTTCACTGATAAAATTCTACCAAATATGTAAAGTAGAATTAATACGGAATTCTTCTCAAACCCTTACAAAATATAAAAGGAACACTACCAACTCATGCTTTGAGTTGGTATTACCCTGATATTAACACTATGTTAGGACATCACAAGAAAACTGCAGACCAATATCTTTTATGAATACAGATGTAAACATTATCAATAAAATACTAGCAAACCAAATCCATTAACATATGAAATGGATTATGCATCATGACTGAGTGTATCCTAGGAATTAATGTTTGGTTTAATATCTGAAAATTAATATGATAGACCATATTAATAGAATAAAGGACAAAAAAACATTTGATCATAGCAACAGATGTAGAAAAAAGTATTTGACATGATATAATACCTCTTTGTGATATAAAAGCACTCAACAAATCAGGCCTAGAATGGACTTCCTCAACCTGATAGAGGGCATCTGTGAAGAACCCTCAGATAACGTACTTAATTGTAAAAGACTGAAATCTTTCCCCCTAAGGTCAGGAACAAGACAAGGATTCTGCGTTTGCCACTTGTATTTAAC